CAGGGAAACCCATCTATGCATCTATTTGTCCCCAACAAGTTATGACTGTAACCCCCTCCCCCTCCCCCTACCCCCTCCCCCTACCCCCTCCCCTCCCCCCCCCCCCTTTAAGTAGTTGGGTCCTATCCCTAGGCCCTTGGAGATGAGATGTCCTTGGGACCTGGTCGTTTCACCTTGCAGGGATTGGTGGGTTCCAGGGGTACTTTGGCGCATTTTGCCAAAGGATGTTAGGACTTGAGCTTTTGGCCAACTTTTATGTTTTTTTTTTCACTTAAACCACTAAAAGTGAGTCACTTTTAGCAGCAGAAAGCAAGCAAGGGTAGCGATGCGGCTCTTTCTAGTATGGCATCTCCCAGCCTCTCTCTTTCAGGGCCGATTTTTTCGGGGAGACGATGGGACCAGGACATTCTCTTTTGAGGGGGTTTGACTGCGGGACGCCCAAATGCCAAAGCAAACCAAATGGGGGTCTCCCGTTTTGAGACGAGATTTTGGAGCTAGGCGGTCAATCAGCCTACCCTGCCTCCCATTTCACATGGAACCTGACTTTTGGAGGTCCCTTGAGAATGAAAATGGTCCAAACCAGGCCCCCAAAAGAACATCAAGATCCACGTTAATTGGTGGGAGGGTAAGTCCCTCAAAGGACCTATCGCTAATTATCGCTACATCCTTTGGAGGGGAACATTTTTCTATTAGTAAACTGGGGTTTATGAATCTCACTTCCTGAGTTCATGAGCTTTAAGCACTTTTTGGGTTTGGACCATTTTAGTGGTAAACATAAAAAGTGTCGTTTCTTTTTTTTTGGGTCACCCACTCAGCCAGTGAGGGGGGTCAATAGGGCAAATGGGGCGTCAATAGTGATCGGATTCAGCCTCCAGGTTCCTGCCTGACGGACTCCAGAGCGGTTGATGCTGAGGAGATCTCGTTGGAGGGATTGCGGAGGTCCAACTTGGTGGGTTCTTTGGGAGCCGGAAGAACCTCCTTTTTTTTTCCTTAAATAAATACGTTTTTTGTTTGTTTGTTTTTAAACATATGATTCACTTTCTTTTTTTTCCTCCGAGCCGTGTGCTGGAGGGCATGATTGACATTTTTGCACTCGCACATGTGTGGGTTGTTGTTCTTGAGGGTACCCTTTGCCAGGTTTCAGGTCATCCAGAATTGGGGGAGTTCTTGTAGAGGGTAAATGGAAAACCACGCGGAAGACCCGGTCCCGAAACGCCGCCTTCGCCAAGAAATTGAACAAAAACAAAAAACATCTTTCTAGTGCTATGTTCCCCATTCTTTCCAGGGATCCTTCTTTGTCGAAAGCATCCGGAAACCCATGGAAACGGCCGTTTTTAGAAAATAATGGTTGGAAAGAATGGAAGAGGAATCAACCCTTAGAGTTTCCGGGGCAAGTCGGTCGCAGGAGCTCTGGGCGGTGCTTTTCCAGCGCGACTGGCGATGGCTTTGCACAGATGGGCCCTGCCAACGCAGCAGCTCCAGGCGGGGTTCGGTTTTTGGAGCATCGGCCGGTTTTGGGCTGATCAGGGTTGTCACTTTGGGACTAGGGTAGACTTGGGTGTGGGTCAGACTTAGGCGCCAGGGGACTGCAGGTTTCAGTCCTTGGTTCCATTTACCCGGGCAACCCATTTTGGGTACCCTTTTTTGACCCACAGCCACTTCAGCCCCAGGGCTGGTTCATTCCTCCCAAAAGGAAAAAGGAACTCCTGGGCTTTCTTGCGTCTATCTTGCAGTCAAAAGGCGGAACGCTGTGCTGATTTGCCCATGAACTAGTCATATCGCGGGCCAAGATGGAACGTTATAACACCTCGAACATCCATTGCCACCCGAGTACGCCTTTGCAGCCAGATTCCACAAGAATGACGCTCAATTTGAGCCAAGTGTCAACTGGGTCCACTGCTTGGACTGTTTTTTTCTGCGTCTCCTTGCCCTATTGCAGGTAAACCATGTATTTTTGGTAGTATTCAGTGAAGCACCATGAGAGCAAGCCTACACCAAGAACAATGACCTCTGGCACTAGGGAGAACAGTACGGTCTCGACACTCATTAGGGGCTTCCCTTTGTTGATTAATAGCCTTGGATCACTTTTGTGGGTAGCAAAAAGACATACTGTTGATGGACAAAATCCTACACCACTTTGAAACCAAGGTTGAACCCATTGTTACCATTGTTGGTTGGTATTTACAGGGGGAAATCAACCGATTCCGTTGGGTTTCTTGGCTGCGAAATGGACTTTGCAACTACCATTGTTTTGTATTTACAGGGGAATCATCAGAAACCAGGGTTTCTTAGGTGGTGCGAAATGGATTTCGCAACTCATCCACAGTAGGTTTAGACATCCCGGATGGGACATCCAATGACAGGACTTCATTCAATGATGGGGATCCAGTATTTATTCGTTCAATGATCTTAGGTCCCGGGTTTTCCTGTCCGGATTCGGTTCCCATTGGTTTCGCCTTCCCCAGCCTTGGCCAGGCAGAGCCACCGCCGCATCACGGAGAAGGCCGGCAAAGGCTGCGCCTTCGTAGCCGGGGTCCCGAAAACGAGAGTGGGGAGGGTTGGGGGCGGGGTAGGGGGGGAGAGAAAGGGCAATGAGTTTTTTATTCTTTTTGCAAGGGCAATATGTTCATTCCCATGTGGAATGGCCCGATGTGTCTTTTAATTGGGACCCGACGTGGTCGACATCAGCATTTGAGGTGGTGAAGAAAAATCATTCCCATGTTGCCCTGGAGCAACATAAACAAGATATATGGGTCAAAATTACAGAAGGGCCCCTCATGGGGGGTGGGTTTTTTAAAAGCATGAAATTTAGCAGTTTTGGGGGTATGTTTCTTTGATGCTTCAAGAAAATCCAAAAAAACCTCGAGTTTTCCAAAAAAACCAAAAAAACCAAAATTTCAGACCCTAACTCAGCCAGTATGGATACATAGGGTCTGAAATTTTGGTTTTTCTGTTTTTTTTGGAAAACTCGAGGTTTTTTACACTTTTCCAGAAAATCCAAAAAAAACGCAAGTTTTCCAAACAAACAAAAAAAACAAAATTTCAGACCCTAACTCAGCCAGTATGGATACATAGGGTCTTTTTTTTTTTTTTTCGGAAAACTCGAGGTTTTTTACACTTTTCCAGAAAATCCAAAAAAACCTCGAGTTTTCCAAAAAAACCCAAAAAACCAAAATTTCAGACTCTAACTCAGCCAGTATGGATACATAGGGTCTGATTTTTTTTGTTTTTTTTTTTGGGTTTTTTTTTGGAAAACTCGAGGTTTTTTACACTTTTCCAGAAAATCCAAAACAACTCGAGTTTTCCAAAAAAAAACAAAAAATCAGACCCTATGTATCCATGCTGGCTGAGTTAGGGTCTGTTGTTAAAAAGAAATGGCCTCGAGCAAACAAAACCGAACTGTCAGACCCTACCTCAGCCAGCAAGGATACACAAGGTCTGAAATTGTGTTTTTGTTTTTTTGGGGTTTCTCGAGGTTTGCTTGGTTTTGACGTTGGGGTCGGCAAGAAGAAACACACATCCGCAAGAAGGAAACATTTGCCATCGCGGCCTGGGCATTTCACTTGCTAAGTGCAACCGAATTCTATTCATATGAATTGAAAGAAGTAGCCAGCTTGTCTTTCCTTGCCATCTTATCCAGATTACAGCTAAAATCCAATTACAGTCTTAGATACTTGGAAAGGAAATCCATCTTTATTCTGGTTCAAAACAGTAACACAAATTGAATCAGTTAGAAGAAACTACCAGCTTGTCTTTCCTTACTAAATTCTAGCAATAAACATGTCAAATAAAGATCATATTTGGAAAGAAATCCCCATTTAGATTTGGATGAAATTCCTGTTTACAATGTACTCAATTAAAAATAATAAAGCAAATAACTATTATTTGGATAAGACCCCATGACACACATCTAAAACTAACAGTTACCCTTCTAATCGGAACCATTGCTTGGAAGGGAAGTGCTGACTAATATCTAATTCGAGAGCATGAAGTGAAGTCTGATCGAAATCCAATTTGAATGTAAGTAATTCCTCGCAATGTAAACCTTGCAAACAAATTGCAATGCAATCAGCTTTTTGCCATGGGTTTTTCTAGTTTTTTCAGAGGCTTGCATTGCAAATTAGAAGAAACAACAAGCTTCTCTTTCTTGAGCAGATTCCCGATTAAAATCCTACTTGGGAAGGGACACCTATTTAAATTCTAACTCAACATACTGTGTTAACTTGAAGGCTAATCAAGACTTGATTCAACCTAAAGCGGTGCAATCTAAAACTTGTAAACCAAAAAATATGACGTTGCATTTCCTTTGAGTTTCTATTGGTTGGTCTCTCCTTTTATGGGGCAGGCAATTCAGAATAAACGACCAACTTGTCTTTCCATAATCATATAGGGTTCTATTTGAATTCTAATTCAGTTCTAATGCTACACAGTGCAACAGGAATGGCAAGAAAGATGCTAAGAGAATTGCAGCTACGCTGGTAATAGACAAGACACTTTTGGCGACTGGCCTTTCCTTCAACACTGTCTGATAGTGCAATTGACAAGCAATTATGGGCCAATGTTCAAGGTCCAATTGTTTGATGAAGCCTGTTGAAACAGACAAGCAATTTGGGCACAACATCCAAGGTCCACAGCACTAAAAGTGCATTGCCCGTGGGGTTGAAATTGGTGAATCTTATGGGTTTCAAAAACCCACCCCCCATGAGGGGACGCTCTCCAAAATTAAGCCAACAGGTCAGGGAATCGCAGGAATGTTTGTCCTTGGGTTTATTTACCAGGGTGCCATTTTTGGTACCCATTCCCATGTGGAATTTTTGAATGTTCAGAGCTCGGTGGGGATTCATTCCCATGGTGCACTGCAACAAAATATAGCATGAGAAAACGTCACACACGTGCAGGCAACCGGGTGTTTTGGACATGGTTGGCCTAGTGGTTTCTTTGGAATGAAGTCGTCCTCAGCGGAAAACTTTAGACATCCTGCGGTTTGGGACAGAACAAATTAGCTTGGTGGCTCCCAGCCATAGCTTGAGCCTTTTAGAGTTTAGTGGTAGTTTCCATTTGACACACTAAAAGTTAAACTTTTAGCGGGGGATCTGAGGGCAGCCCATACCCCTGGATCTGAGTCAATCTCCGAGGCGAAAGCAGCGATGACTCCATTTGTCGAGAGGCTTGAACAAATCCCACAGATCCCACACCCAGACACCTCCAGAGCCAACGAAAACCAACGAAAACCAACCAACCAACCAACCCACCCACCCACCCACCCACCCACCCACACCAACACCAACACCAACACCAACACCAACACCAACACCAACACCAACACCAACACCAACACCAACACCAACACCAACACCAACACCAACACCAACACCAACACCAACACCAACACCAACACCAACACCAACACCAACACCAACACCAACACCAACACCAACACCAACACCAACACCAACACCAACACCAACACCAACACCAACACCAACACCAACACCAACACCAACACCAACACCAACACCAACACCAACACCAACCAACACCAATTAACACCAACCAACACCAGCCAACACCATCCAACACCAACCAACACCAACCAACACCAACCAACACCAGCCAACACCAGCCAACACCAGCCAACAGTAACCAACACCAACCAACACCAACCAACACCAACCATTACCAACCAACACCAACAAACACCAACCAACACCAACCAACACCAACCAACACCAACCAACGCCAACCAACACCAACCAACACCAACCAACACCAACCAACACCAACCAACACCAACCAACACCAACCAACACCAACCAACACCAACCAACACCAACCAACACCAACCAATCAACACCAACCAACACCAACCAACACCAACCAACATCAACCAATCAACACCAGCAAAAACCAACCAACACCAGCCAACACCAACACCAACGAACCAAAACCAACCAACACCAACACCAACCAACCAAAACCAACCAACACCAACCAAAAAACCAACCAATACTAATGTAAAAGCCAACCAACCACCCTGCTTTTACCCTATTGGAGTACCCCCGCCGCACTTCGATGTGCCTCAGGTCTTGGGTGGCTGCGTGCGCCGTGCAGGAGGACGTCACGCCGATGGAGCGGCGCGCCAATCTGTCGCGGGCGCGATGCCGTGTCCGTTTCCAATGCAGACGCTGGGGTACTTCCGTTGCGCAAGACCAATATCAGGTGTGACCACATGCCAAAGCTGGGACCTGGAACACGGGCTCCCCCAAATTCAATGACTTCCATTTGCTGGGGGTACTTCCACATCACATGGGGGCCGGGGGGGGGGAGGGAGGGGAGGGAGCCCTGCTCTGGAAGCTTCCTACCTTCCAGAATCCTTCCATTTGCTGAAATGAATATATTTTTTTAATGATTGTTTCCCCCTGCTGGTTTTAAAGGGACTCTAGACTAACTTTTTTTCCAGGGGTCTTAACCAAATGGAAGGGTACGGGGGGTCGAGATCCACGATTTGGTGCATGCGCATCGCATGTTTGGGGGTAAGGGGTTGGATTTGTTTGCCTGCTTCCATTACACATTGCCCTGAAGGTGCGTAGACCCATTAAACGACAGGGTGGTTGAGAGGACTTCTCTAGAGCAGGCGAGTGAGGGCAGGCAGCGCAGCGGGCGCCAGCTTTTCAGTGCACCCTTTCTCAAGTGGCCGGTCAAAACCGTTTTGGGATCCCATTTTGGGGTAGGTGAATTCACCACCCGAACGTGTTTCCACCAATGGCCGTGGTTGTCAACACCGTTTTGGGATCCCATTTTGGTTGGTAGGTGAATTCACCACACATTTTAGAACCTATTTTAGTGGTTCGCTAAAACCCTAACCTCGGGGTTTTGAGCCATGGCCATGGCGCAGGTGCTGTCGGTGCTCACTTCAGATCAGGGCAAGGCATTGCGCCGGTCGCTTTCCGCTTTCCGATCCGACCCCAAAGCCAGGGTGTCTCTCTCTCCGGATTTGTCTTTTTCGGATTTCCTTTGGTTTTACAAACCAAATCCCAAATTTGTCTTAAAACAGGGGACCCTCCAAAATGGACCTGTTCTGGTTATTTTCCATTCAGCACCGACCAACACGGGATCACCCCCAAGAAAGGCACTCCAAGGCTTTCGGACTGTGAGACCGCAGCCAATCGGGCCCAAAGTAGGACCTTGTGCTGAGAGTCGAAATGAAGGCGTTTGAGTCGCGGACTGCCATGCCACCAGCAAACGCAAAACAGTTTCTTTTGCCCAACAGATGTGTTCCTTTTTGGGCAGGGACTGGACCAAACGAACGCCTTTTGGTTTCCTTGGCAGTTTGCCATGAGTTTTTTTTGCGTTTAGCCAAATTTTCATTCAGGCCTTGACCACAGATCCGGAGGGACCACTTGCAAGCCATGGTGGGGCTGGATGATCGGCGCTCGGAGGGTAGCGACAGTGGCTCCGACGCAAGCGACACAAGCCAGGATGAGCTGATCACGGTTCCAGGCTCGGTTATCCCAGCAACTCACAGTGGATGATGTCTCACAATATTGGAACCCTAAAAAATGAAGTCGTCCTTATTGTTTCCCTTCAAAGCCACGCCAAGAAGGGAACCCTCAAACAACAACCGCGCGAGGGAGCATGCATGCCCGCACGCACGCACGCACGCATGCACGCACGCGCGCACCCACAGCATACCTGCATACCTGCGTATTTGCATAACTGCATACCTGCATACCTGGATACCTGCATACATGCATAAATGCATACAGACACACATGCACGTGCATGCATGCATGCGTACATATACATGCATACATACATACATACATGCATACATAGATACATACATGCATACAGACATACAGACACACACACACATGCATAAATACATACATACATACATACATACATACATACATACATACATACATACATACATACATACATACATACATACATACATACATACATACATACATACATACATACATACATACATACATACATACATACATACATACATACATACATACATACATACATACATACATACACCTACCTACCTACCTACCTACCTACCTACCTACCTACCTACCTACCTACCTACCTACCTACCTACCTACCTACCTACCTACATACTTTGTTAATGTTGAAACGCATGTGGAAACATGAACTGTGTTTGCAATGCTTGACCATAATGGCGCATGCCATTTTGGCTCAAGCTTTGCCCTGGGTTCTTTGAATCCAATTTGTGTGAAAAAGATTTGAGTTTGAACACCCCGAACTAACCCCGATCAAGCAATGGCTTCCTCGGCAACCTCGGCAACCTCCTTCGAGCTGATTGAGGACCAGACGCTCACCGCGGAGGAGGTGGAAATGGCCAGCCAGGAGGCCCAGGAAATTCGCACACGCGAGGCGGCAGTGGCGGCCGGCCTGGTGTTGGACGAGCCCGAGGCCCCCCCATCGGCTTCGGCTACCGACGTGATGAACGACCTCTCCAGTGCACTGGAGCGTCTCCGTGTGGCGTTTGCCACACCGACTTCCGGCTTGGGTGCCCCTGGCCCCGCCGAGGAGGAGGACAAGGACATGGAAGATGCGGACGCCACGGAGCGGGCTACTCCACTGGAAAATCTTGGAGAACCACTTGAGGGTGTTCCACACCTGCCGCAACTTGCACGGGGTGACCTCCTCATCGGCGAGCTGGTTGAGGAGAGAGCGGACATGTCGCTCCTGCCATGGAATCACGGTGAAGCCTCTCTTGCGGAGACTCTCGTAGACCAGGCCTGAGCGTCCGGAACCTGCTGTCCCCCAAGAGGTCCAATGCCTCCTTGCGGAAGTCCTCCCCCAGGATTTCCTGCATGTATGCGATGTGCTCCGCAAAGGGGGCGAAGTGGGCAAGGAGCCCATTTTCCGCGCATATGGAGTTCCAGTGCTCGCTGGGTCGTGGGCTCCATTTCCCTGATCTTCCCGGGCCGCCAGTGCCTCCACTTCAGAAGCTCCGGCTGTTGGAGTGGGGGTGGGTCATCTCGCGAGAACCACCTCAGTTGGTCCTGGCGGTCCCATTCATGCCGGTGGAGGGCCGTCCCGGCTACTTCAAGTTAGTGGACCTCCCAGACCTTTTCCCGGTCCTTCCGGCATCGGCGGCCACGTTGCTGAGGGACGTCACGGTGGAGGAGGCGGTCTCCCTGTTCCACAAGTTTGTCGGGAAGAATCTCACGGAGGACTTGGTGATTCGTATCCTGGAGGCCTATGTTCCGATGAAGATCCAGATCCGGCAGGAGGAGGTCTGGGCCTCACAGTTCCAGAGGAACAAGGCGTGCATTGGCACCCAGCGGATGCACAGACTCGATGCAGGCCACTCAGATTACAAGTTCATGTGCAAAGCATGCGGCACGGGGTGGCCGGAGGCAGCCAAGCAGTGCTGGGTCTGCCCAGGCAAGGAGTTCGTCCCCTTCCAGGCACCCTCGGCTACCTATGAGGCGGACGGCATCACTTACAACCTGCTCATTGTGGAGGGCAAGCCGACCTGGATCCAGCAGCGGAAAGGGGGAAGCCTGGGTGCCGCTGGCGGTGGTACCCGGGCACAGGCGGACCGCAACCTGGTGGACGGCACGGTCCTGGGGAGAGCTCCTCCGAAAACGGACACGGCAGAGGAGATCACCATGGCAGACGTGGTCCCGCTCAACAGGCGGGTGGACATCCGGCAGGAGATCCTGTCCATGGAGGCGGATGACGAGGCGTTGAAGGTCCGGGAATGCCAGGAGATCAAGGTCAAAGTGCAGCGGTCCCTGAAGGAGGCGGAGGCTCAGAGCTTCCAGCTCTACCACCCCCAGGTGGACCAGGCGATCCGGAAGAAGGAGGAGCTGCATAAGGCTTTGAGGGAGCATCGGGAACCGACCCCGGAGGAGGCCTTGGCCAGGCGGCAAGGAGTTGGTCACGGAGGAGATGCTGGACAATGAGATGGCTCTCCAGGAGGGCATGCAGGCCCTGCCGTCAGAGGAGGTGGCCAATGAGGGAGCCCGTGCCCTCAGGAAGGTCAACCTGGAGCGATTCAAGGCCAAGCTCTGGAGGGGAAGGGCGTTGACGCCAGCCAGGCACTGGCTGAGGCGATGGGCTCCATCCAGGAGGCTCAGGAGGCGAACAAGCGCACCCAGGACACCAACCAGGCATGGATGCTTAACCACACTCTCAAGCCCTTGGAAGTGTCGGCGTGGCCAGATGATCTCAGGCAGGCGCTGGAGAGGGGGCTATTCTGGCCCCTGGAGCTGGATGACCCCGAGGACATCCCCAACGTGGGCGACATCAAGGAGAAGTATGTCCCTTACATCAGGAGGCTCAGAGAGTCGCAGAACCCATGGCACCAGGAGGCGCTGCTGGAGGAGATGCCCGATCTGGCGACACCGGCCCCTTCAAGGGTGCCACTGGCCCTGGGGGGGACCAGTCAATGTCACAGGAGGACCTGGACTCGGAGGAGGGCAAGCTGTCCCTGCTCCTCTGGGCGATGAAGAGGCACCAGGGGAGCTACGGATGTTTGGGGGGATCTGGAAGAAGCACTCAAGCGGTGAAATCCCCAAGGGCGCGGACCAGCAATTCAAGCTCACGCCGGAGGAGCTCCTGGCCCTGGAGCGCAGGACTCACCCACTCACGTGCGAGCAGGACCACATCGACCCAGTCATCTACACGGCCTTGGAGACGAGCGCAGGTGAACCGGGGCGAGCGCCCGGCGCCGGAGCAGGTGGTGGGGATCTTCTGGGCAAAAGGTGATGGGGTGTTTTGGACCAGGCAGACGAGAACGTGGGACCTGCCGAGCCTGACGGGGGTGTACGCCCACAGGTTCACTTTCAAGTACATCTACTCGGCCTGGACCACTTTCCCGCTGATCGTGAAGACGCAGCGCCGGGGCCGCAATGCGGAGGGCTCGACCTCGGACAAGTGGATGGGCAACATCCTCCAGATGAGGAAGGAGGCGGTGCCCTTCCTGGAGAGCCTGGGCATCCCCAAGCCGCGCAGCAAGGCGGAATGGAGCTACATCTTCAAGGAGATGGGGACGTTTCTGGCGGCCAAGAATTTCATCGTTAACTGCCCGTTGCCGGTGATGGAGATCCCAGTGGCCCCCGTCCACGACAGCAAGGAGGCGCTGCGTTTCAGGGCGGTCTGCGACGAGCGAATCACCCTTCCGCTGTCATCGCTGAGGGCTTTCGACTCGGTCTACACCAAGTTGGTGTCGGGCCTGAGCAAGTCCTCCATGGTGGAGGTGAAGGTCAACTGGCGTTGCAACGTGGTCCACGACTGGGTCGAGCAGGTCCCGCAGGAGGCGGCGGGGGCCTTGTACGACAGGTTGGGCTACTCCCAGGACCTCATCCGGCAGCTGGGTTGCTCCCCCCCCTTGGGTGCCTCTGGCCCCGGGAGGAGCGGCCAAGGAATCGGACCAAGGCCAAGGTTCTGGGGGGGGCGGACACCACGCTCCGCACACCGGACCAGGGCACCAGGCGGTACCCGCCCATCACCACGTCCACGGTCACGGCGGTCGCGGGCCGGAAGTACATCAACAAGCACTTCCCCAAGGAGACGAAGCACGTGTTTTGGGCCTCCGTGGAGTGCGGCCTGGTCTTGCCCAGCATCAGCGCCTGGGAAGTGGTGGGAAAGGAGAAGTTCAAGACCACCGGGGGCTACATGTGCAGGTTTTGCAAGGGCTTCTGGAGGGCGAGGTGCGGGGGGACCAGGCTGCTCCAGATCACGGGGTGGCACAAAGACAAGGCCACATGCTTGCAGCTGGTGATGGACGAGCCCCCGCAGCAGCTATATAATCAGTGGATCCGGGACAGAATGGAGTTCTACAAGAGGGTGGAGCCGACAGAGCCTCCCAGGGACGAGCGGCTAGTCCTGGGCGACGCGAGCACCCCATGCGCTTCAGCTCCTCGAATGGCCTGGGGGATGTCTCCACTGCCTTGTGGTCGGTCATTTTGAGCAACCCGGAGAAGTCAGGGCTGGCGGCCATCCACTCGGTGGCAAAGGAGGCGATCTTGAAGGGTGAGAGCCGCTAGGTCGTGTCTCACAACCCTTTTGGATGTGGAGTCGTGTGATCTCTTCCCGCCGGGACTTGGGTGCCTCTGGCCCCGTCTCGGGTGGGGGGAGGAGTAAGGGTGTCTCCTTTTGGGTTCAACTTTCACCATGGTTTCCCCCCCTGTTCAACACGTCACGACTGCCGGTTTGCCTCGATCTGGAGGCTGCACGCATTGGCTGCCCCAAGGACGGGCCATATCGGCCACAGTTCGGAGAAAGTGGCTGCGGCTGACTCTGGGTTCCCTGAGGTCCCCTTGGGGGTTTTGGGGAATCCCCCGTCGGGTTGGTCTTCCCCCCTCCGTGTTTTTGGGGATTTCCGGGGGTTGTCTTTTGGTCCTGTTGGGCTGCATGTGGCCTGCCTGCCCCATTTGCACGCGGCATCCTGCGTCGTTTGGAACATGCATGCAGTGTGCCGCGGTTGGGTCCCGGCCGTTCGATAG